TTTTTTTTTTTTTTTTCTTCCATTGTTGGGAACAAAATGGTTGTCATTTCCACGAGAATATTCCGTGTAAGAAAGAATTTTTCTTTCAATCACTGAACTGGAGAAACAGAAAGAGAGCATAATCTTTACCTGACAAAGTTTGACTTCAAAATCTCCAAATTGTTCTCCCTGGTAGATGTTTTGTCACTGAGTATTCCTGGCACGGCACTAGCGGTACAAGAACTCTCAACGAGTGATTTAACTTTACCTTCTTCAACTCTTTCTCTGTTGTTCATCACATGGTCTTCAACTCCAACTTCACTCTTTTTACCAGTATTCTCCTCAGAAATCTCAACAGTATGGAGGAGGTGCGAGTTGACGGGTATTGCATATTTGTAATGACAGGATGAACTGTTAATAGACACATGATCAAAATCTTGTTTTCCATTTGCACTAGTTGTGTTCGTACTCGTGGAATTAGCGTCATCGTGCTCCTCTGATGAATGGTCTCCGGTCGGCTCATTTCTAAAGCGAGAATCAGATGAGATTTCCTTGCCATCATCACTTCCAGTACAATCTTCATGCTGAACTGGTTTGGCTAAAACCAAATTTTCAGATGGACCCACTTTAGGTAACTCTATAAAAGCACTTGTTATATCAAAATGACTCGTTGCTTTATCGGATTCATGAATAGCAGCTGAATGGTCTGGAGTATCATCATCATCCATTGCAAATTTAGAAGGTAGGTTTTCTTTTACGGGTCCAGGATCTGCATCTTCTCCAACCGAGCTATCCATATCAACATTCATTGTAGTCCCATTTAGATATGGCTTTTGTGCCCAATCTTCTGAAACAGTCATACTTCCAGTATCTTTCTTGTGCAAGGAACCTTCCTCTTCTTCACACCCACTTCCACTAAGAGAAGTACCTTCCTTATTTTTGTCTTTTTCAGCTTTTGAGACATCTTTTGTTAAATTTGACTCGAAATTGAAATTGTCCAACCTGGAAATAGAGAAAGTAAAATGTCAATGCATGATACTCAACGTCATACAACCGCCATAATGAAGCATGACAGCTTCTGCAGACTCACTCATCAAAATCAAATGCAAAAGCAAAATGGTCAGCTTTTCCTTTATCCTTTCCCCTGGATGACGATTCTTTTGGCTTCTCCTTGGGTTTTTCATCCTTTTTAAGTGGAGGGGAGATATCCAGATCAGACATATCCATCTTGAAAGATGACATTTTTCCAAAATCACCATCCAAATTAAAATCCACATCCCTGGAAGCAGCAATTCATCAGTAAGCTAGTAGTTGTACTATGTCACTGCAAACTTACAGTCACATCCTATATACAGCTCTTATTTTTAAAATAAACTTCACCAGAACCTAATATCAGCAAAGAAGTACATAATTTAACAAGAAAAAACAAAACCTTAATAAAATGCATTTTGGACATCAAAACCAGATACCAACTAAAAAGTAAATACCATGATAATTTTCACCTCACATATCATTAAAGTTCCTATAATATCAAGCTGACTTTCTGTACAGATGAGATTATGAATAGGCTAATAAAATTCATAAATTTTATCTTACGCTTTATCAAACTTAAATGTCTTCTTATTGCCAGGCCCAGGAGTCAGGTCAAAATCCATTTCATCCCCCTCAGTTATTGAGATTGATTTCCATGAGCTAAGGAAGTCCTTCCCGAAGTCCATATCTGCATTAAGCATAAATGAGAATTGGAATGAGTTATAACTTACATCTCAAATGAAGATCACATAAACCTTAGAAATTGCGTTATACAGTCTGACGCAAGAAGAGTTTTTATGATAGCATACTTCCCCATAATTCGAATGCTATAGACATGTGACGCCTCTACTTTATTCTTTCTAAAACAGAAAAAGTAAAAAAAGGTCATGCACTAATATGTCACATATTATTTGTTAACTAATCTGCAGAATTTCCATATATTCTTAAATAAAGATAGACAATAAGAGATGAGAGTATACCTAGCAACGAACTTTTCTCCTTCGAACTGATTGAAGAAGAATCTCTCTTCTGACGTTCTGCCATCTCAGTCTACAGTTATTGATGTTTTCCTTTCTGCAAGCAATCAGTAGCCAGTTGCAATTCAGCAGGACAATGAAAAAGTTCCTGGATGAATCTAGTGACAGATAACCATTGCATACAGATCATATAAAATATTAGAGCTAATAATTTCAGGTATTATCCGTCAACAATATCATAAACAACATGAACACATTTTTTTACAATATAACCTGAGAAAGGCAGTTCACCACTCATCATAAACCTCCGCCTCCTAGCCACACATACACTCTGCATACTTATTTCACTAATCTACCTGGATACCCTATACTTGGTTATATTTTGGAAACTTGGTCAATTGTCAATCTAATCCTAGTGTTGAAGGCAACAAATGTATAACTGAATAAATTCTGACAGAAAGTAGTTCAATGGTCAACAGAATCCCAGAGTACCAAAAAACGAATGTAGTAGCTAAAAGGCTTTGTTGTTGATAGGCTTGGCGAGCCAACGTAAAACCTAGCCGTTCTATGGAGATGAAACACAAAAGAAATCTCTCCAATTTGTTTGGGACTAAAACGCTTTGTTGTTGTTGTTGTTGTTGTTGTAGTAGCTATATACTGTTATAGTTAACAAGCAGCACATTGCATCAGAAGCCTCTAGTTGAACCATGTGTTCTGCTGATTAGATAAAAAAGTTCTGAAAGGTTACAGATAAGTTATTCAAGCCTATACTATTTCATCATTTACCATCTCCGGCAATTCGGCTGCAGATTTTAATATTCAACACGCTCTTCGACATAACAGAGATTATGCTACTATTTCCGATTTAACATAACAGTAAATCCAACAAACTGCCGATTTGGGGAAAAGTGAAGAACATAACATTAAATGGTTCGTGCCATCAATTTTCACATAATCAACATATCAACTTCTGCAATTAATCCAACGACAACAAAGACGATGAAAATAAAATGATGCAGTGACGAATCACGCTGATGGTCGATGGTCTGCGAAAAATTATTATCACGAATCTGAACAGCAAACGAGATAACCCCTACCGCTAATTGCTGCAACTCGAATCGCAAATAAATTCTTCTGACTCGAAAATTGAAACGGAAAATTGCAGAAATTATACAGTCAGAAGTTGCGCTAACCGAGTAGAACGAACAACGATTTCTACGGGAACTCATTGTTACCTCAATTGCGAAGACGAGCACTAGCAGCGTTGCGTAAACTGGTGTATAGATACATGCGCCTGTGTATGTATACTGTATGCACGTATACTGTGTGTGTGTATGTGTGAGAGAGAGAAAGCGAGAGAGAGAGAGTCGCAATGATTGAAAGTTGCAGAAGTTTGTGGGCAGAGCTTAAAAGGTACTACGCTTCGAGAAGGCGCTAAATTTTGAAAGGTGTTCGGTTTATATAGACATGACTGAGAAAAACGAGTCAACATCGAAAAACCAATTCAATACGGTTCGATCTGATTTTGTGTGTGTGTGTGTGTGTGTGTGTGTGTGTGTGTGTGTGTGGTGTGTTGCAATTTAATATGAAATTTCGCAATTTTAACTTTTTTATTTTTCTAATTGCGTTTGCGGTGCAGGACCGTGCTCAAAGTTCTGTAGAAATTAGTAAAAAGATAACGGGATAATTCTACTTAAATCTCTAATGCCATATTCGTTTTCCTTGTCAGTCCTTTAAGGGTGATTGTTTATGGTTTGAATAGTAAAAAATCTAGAATTTTTTAATTATGGTTAAGTTTAAGAAAAAATGGTATGATTAGTTGTTAGTGGATATATTAAAATAGTATTTAAAATAAAAATGTTAAAATTGATTTGATGTAAAAGTAAGAGAAAATGATTGAAAGTGATAGTTAGTTAAAATTAATTAAAATTATGTGAGTAGATGAATAGTGAATTAAAGTTGATGTGATATGTAATAATGATTTGTTGATGTTATTTAATTATATAATAATATTAGAGATAGTGGGTTGAGTTAAATTTAAGTTTGAATAAAAAAAATTAGTGTACAAATAATAAACAATCACCCTCTTAGTATTTTATTTTACTCTGCACTCCCTAACATATCATCTCTCTTTCCTCCCCACTACCCATATATATACTAATATTATTATTAACTATTTAATTTCTATTGAACCATAAAAAAGAGAAAAAAAAGTCTATCTCTCTCTCTCTTCAAGCTTCTCTGTCGTTCATCTCTCGTCCGTCCCCAAATTAACCGATCTCCGGCCACTTGAATATTCCATCTTTGTCGTCGCCATCATCACAAAAATTAAAGCTCCTTCAAGCCTGACCCTCGACCTCCATCTCCGTGAAGCGTAAAGCGTGCTCCTAAGTCGCCCATCATCTCCTGGAAAAGCTTGCCCCTCCGTCTCCGGCCATCGAGATACAATGGCGGTCTCGAAAAAAAAATCACATCCAATAAACTGGCATCTTCTACCTCCAAAACCTTAAACAAGGTAAGATTTTTAGAATTCTAATTTTTGGGTTTTTTTGTTCAAAAATTTA